GGGATGTAAGTGTTGGTGCATGGAAAAATGTTTCCAAATGATAATTGAGTATACATGTACTATATTATTTCAATGCAAAGATTATGATCTGGATTTTTTAATATTGTAGTTTTTAGCCCACCATCATCTGATGTTGGGCTATTCAAATCGCCCTGCGTCCGTGGTCCGTCGTCCGTCCTTTAACAATTCTTGTTATCAGTATTTCTCAAGAAGTAGGAGAGGGGTCTTTCTCAAATTTTATTTGTAGGTTTCCCTTGGTCCTTAGCTGTCCAGGGCAACTTTTGATACTGATCATATAAACAACATGGCCGACAGGCAGCCATCTTGGATTTTGGTATTGAAAGTTTGTTATCGCTATTTCTCAGGAAGTACCTGAGGTATCTTTCTCAAATTTTATATGTAGTTTCCCTTAGTCCTTAGCTGTGCAGGGCAACTTTTGAGACTGATCGGATAAACAACATGGCCGACAGGCAGCCATCTTTGATTGTGATATAGAAAGTTTGTTAACGCTATTTCTCAAGAAGTACTTGAGGGATCTTTCTCAAATTTTATATGCAGGTTCCCCTTGGTTATTATTTGTGCAGGGCAATTTTTGAGACTGATCGGATAAACAACATGACCGACAGGCAGCCATCGTGGATTTTGATAGTGAAAGTTTGTTATCGCTATTTCGGGAATGGGAACATATTAACATTTTAAAATGCATCAAATAATGCACGGAGCTTGTATATATTGTACATACGGCATCCTAGCAAATATTGTGGGTTTCCGTTATCTGATATTTTTACTATATTTTCTTTATTAAAACAATATTTGTTGGCATCGCTACGCTTGTGTACTTTGTATCTTGACCCTAAAATGTGTTTTTAGGTCACCTGAGCTTTGCTTGGTCAGAATCATCCTTGGTAGATGAGGCTTCAAAATTGTAAAATTGGGATTCCTACCCCAACCCCTGGGGCCAGGGCGGGGCCCCAAAGGGAAAATTAACCAATATTTCAAAAAATTTCTTCAGACTCGGAGGTACTACAGTGATTTTCTCTACGTGGAAAGAAAGATCATCAGGGGCTTTACTTAAATTGTAAATTTCAGGACCCCCGAGCTATCCGTTCTCCCTTGGGGAGGGGGTAAAGTTTACTATAGTTTATATAGGGAAATAACACTTTTGGGTATATTTTGACAACTTTCTGTAGGAAATTATTTTTACTTGGTGAGAATTATCCTTGGAGGTAGAT